AGTTATCTTCATCGCCTGTGTTTTCTCGACTGCATATGTGACTTACCATCTCCTTCCCCACGATAAAATTGCTGAAAGTTGGTGATTGATGACCTTTGTAGCAGTTGTTACGTCTTGGTTTCCATGTTTAGAGGTTAGAGTCCACGCATCGGCATAGGCTTGAGCTTCACGAAGTGTAGTAGATCGTGATATAAAAGTTTCACAGCAGAAGGTGAAGTATACTTCCATGGGCTGTGGAAACTCTGTCTGTCTGTCTGTCTGTCTTGGAAACTGTGTCTGTCTGTCTGTCTGTCTTGGAAACTCTGTCTGTCTGTCTGTCTGTCTTGGAAACTGTGTCTGTCTGTCTGTCTGTCTTGGAAACTCTGTCTGTCTGTCTCACAACTTTCTACTTATTTCCTTCTTCCCTAACAGCTATCTCCTGATCATGTCGCCATGCACTTCACCTTTGATTAATTATTTCAACTACCCAATCTTATCCATCTCAAATTCTGTGCCTATTTCTATATTTCCACTGATTGCAGTCAGATCGGAGTGTGGTTAAGACCTACTTTAATTTGTATTTATTATTCTCAACTATACTTATCTCATCTATTTATTATACTCATCTTGAGAGTGAACATAACGTCTTAGTAGCATATACAACACTCCCCAATAGGAAGCAAACCCGCTGGGTTGTTCATCTTGTCACATGTACCCAGTCATAGCTGGGACTTGCTCAACTGTCTCAAGTAAACAGCTTGTCAAACAAAAATATTAATATTTGTCAACCCCTAAAATTGACGTAATCTTGCGGGTGCAAAATGAGGGAAACTTTTAGGAACAGTCTCCTACTAGTGTCCAAGGTAGACTGTAGATGAAACTCTGTGGCCATGAGACCTTATGAGTACGGAGGCGTGTGGCCAGACAGTCTTGTGGGTGAGGAGGCGAGTGGGAAGAGAGGCGTATGGCCATTTAGGCCGTGTGTGGCCAGCGAGGCTGTGTGTGGCCAGGGAGGCGTGGACATAGGTCTGACCGGCAGAGAGCTGGCTGGCTGGCTGGGTGGTGGAGCTGTCCGTCACCCTGAGCACTAGACACTAAGAAAACCTTGGAGTGTTTGACCATGCCACGAGACCCGATGGCTCAAGATGCATTGTTCTTTGTTCTGCAGCCCTCTGTCGAGCCGCCCTGCCTCTCCTGTCACGGCTCACTGCCGGGCCCTCCCTTCCTCTCTCCATCCCAACCCCCCTCCCTCCATCCCACCCTCCATCTCTCTCTTTCTCCTTATTACCTTCTTCCTTCCCACACCTACATTTCTGGCGTCCTTCACACACCTGTGACCATCATAGCTATCGATACTGTCATCACCACCGCCCACGTTACCGCCTTCAATACCACAACCATCTTGATTTTTTAGGCTATCACAGCCTGAAAAGAAACCCTCTAGCAGAGTTCTACCAGCTGGCTCTCGTGTCATCTCTCAAGCTGTAAACGGTCGGACGTCGTCCAATCATACAGCCACTGGGTCTCTGGCGTCATAGTCACAGGGCCAGAGTGACTCTGGAGTACCCAGGGCGCTATAGGTCATATCGCAGCGTTAATGAAGAGACGGTCTGTGTTCCTTACAATAAAGCACGCCTAAGAAGATTTGTTTATCTCCAATTCCTTACTATAACCAATAACACGCCCCCAATAGTAATACTGGGGTACAGTACCGATTGATTTGATTTTGATTGTTGCTGCCGAAGGCGGCTAGTTTATTGTGCACCCCATACTCATCCTGTGAGCGAACCGATCCTGTTGTTCAGCCTGTACAACTGACACAAATCTGGTCATTATGTGTTGTGATCGATCCGTGATTGTTATGCAAGCTTGTTGTAGATTCTCACACACACACTTGTATTAACCTTCTGGTTTCTGTTTTGCTTCTTGGCCCTCTGAATCACACTGTGATCTGTTTTACTCACAACTCTTCCAATGAATTTGTGCGTCATACATATAGGTCTGGAGACCTATATGTCATACATATAGGTCTGGAGACCTATATGTCATACATATAGGTCTGGAGACCTATATGTCATACATATAGGTCTGGAGACCTATATGTCATACATATAGGTCTGGAGACCTATATGTCATACATATAGGTTTCCAGCTTCCAACTCTGATGTCTTGTCCTGCTCCTTAGTCGTGTGAATTATTTCCTATTTACACTTTGCCTATATGGCTCTCAGAATGTTGTATGTTGTGATCATTGCATCGTTGTCTTGTTTTTCCTAACCCCCCTCCCTTCCTCCTCCAGTGTAGGACTGTCAAACTATGTCGACTTTTCCTCATAGTTTAGACGTCTGTGTTCAAGAATTTTTTCCCCCCTAGCAATTCTCTGGTTGTTTCTAGTTTTATTCCATGAATTTTTGGGCTTTGTTTTCAAATTTGGGCTGGGAACTCTACCAGTGAACTCACATAAGCAGCATCAAGCATTCTGAGGCGTCCTTATCTACGTTCCTGAAAGCAGTTTACGCTGATGTTACTGTTAATGTGTGCCTCTGGTGAGAGAGTGTCCTTACACGTGCTGCAGCTGACTTCAAGAAGCGTTTAGTCAAACCACATCGATTTCAGGTCTTCTTGAAGCTATGAAATACATGTGTGCTAACTCGTGGACGATGGCCCAGCTCACTACCTACCTTAATTTCTGCTAGAACCTCCATAACACACGTGGGTATACTAGCCTATAAAACCAGCTGTGATTGTAGTTGAGCTTTGGCTCTCGGTACCCGCCTTGACTATCAGTCGACTGGTATACAGATTTCCGTGTCCTCTTGGACCTGTCCTATTTACAGTTGATGCCTTCATTACTGCACTTCTCTCTTCATTCCATTTATCTAAAATGTGGCAGTGAACAAATAATTCCTCGCATCACAGGAATAATGTTTCATATTAAGATATTTCCATTAAGTTATTCTTAACAGATCTATCAAGTTCTGGGACTGTTATGCATGCATACTTCGGATTTGTCTACATTTTCATACACGAAGTCTACCTTTACTTCGTGTTTGGGGAGATATGGACGCTACGCTAGCATCGAATATTTAAAAACGTGTCAGACTTTTTGGTTTAACGGATCCTAAACGACTCCTTGTTCAGATTTCTGAATCCAGTTTTTGCCTTGACCAGCCTTGCATGGTACAGAATCCGGTTTATGTGGACTTCATAAAATAGATTCGGTATTATATCATCCAAGGATTTTTTTTTTCCATTTCCAGGAAGGTTTTCCTTACTATTTCGCACCTAATGTCCGGCTCGAAGTTTCCTGAACAAAGATTCATTACTATACAATTGAAGGAATTAAATTCTGTGAGCCATCTGTTAGGTCTTTCGTTCAACCAGACAAGGTCTTCAAACCTTGGTTTGGTTGAACACTTCCCAAACCTCAAGGTTTGGGAAGTGTAACAAAATGGAGGCCTGGTCGAGGATCGGGCCGCGGGGACGCTAATCCCCGAAATCATCTCAAGATAACCTCTAGAAAGGCAGTCTGACAAAAATAAAACACAGTCACTCTACTTTTCTGTCTTGCAAGCTTCCTGTCACCTAGTCACTGAATTATATCAAAGTCTGAGATTCAGGATGTAAGTGCGAGTGTCTGTAAACTCACCTAGATGTGATTACAAGTGTATACATACACTTACAAACAGCAAATCCTGCCTCACAAATTTTGTAACTAGCTCATCAAGATTGTAACTTGCTTAGCTAAATGAATTGTGGGGTTCAGTCCCTGAGCCCATTATGTGCCTCTGTAACCCTTTCCACTACCGCCCACAAGATGGGTATGGGGTGCATAATAAATGAATTAAACTAAAAAAACTAACAAAGTTAAGTTATTTCCTCGATTGAGTGTGTCCGTGTCTATCTGTCTACTTTTGTATTTGTCTGTATCCGCATGCAACAAATGATAAAAATGAATTGCTGAAATATAACATTTCTTTTATGCTGTAAAAATAATTCAAGTATTCAGACAAATACAAAATGACGATTAGGAATGTTACGTCGAGATCAGCGCCTCAACTGTGCAAGGAAACTGGAAATTTCGGAGGAAAAAACCCAAAAGAAACGGGAAAATAAGAATTGAGTTTATTCAACGACTAAGACAAACACAACCGTGGAAGTTTGGCAACAAAACTCAGCAGTAACGTCAAACGTCAGGTGATGTCCACAAAAGCTGGGAAGTCAATCGACAAATTTCAAGACACGGTTTGAGGCACGAGGAAGCTCGGACCATAGCGAGAGTACTTGTGTAAAGGAGGAAATGTATATGTTTATCACTCAGAATGTTCGGTAATACGTTTATTGCTTGTGATGTGTGTCTATGTATGTATTAACACGATGTACTGAACGGGGTGAGAATAGCTTGAGCTAACTCATCCCTTTGTGTGTATTTTACCTCAACTTATTTCAATATGTTTATGTTTATCTCTCAGAATGTTCTGTAATACGTTTATTGTTTGCGAGGTGTATCTATGTATGTACTAACACGATGTACAGAACGGGGTGAGAATAGCTTGAGCTACCTCATCCCTTTGTGTGTATTTTACCTCAATAAACTTATTTCAAATTCATAGGGAGAGCATACGACCGCCTACGAATAAAACACTGACCTGAGTGGAAAATAAGACACGATATAAATCCCGATAGCCACAAGGCAAGCGACTAGGGTCATCACGTCATGGTTCCCGGGGTGAGACTGACAGTGACAGTGGGAGATGTGTGTTAGCAGCGCTGTTGAGTGCCTATTGCTAGCCCTCATTTTCCTGTTGTGTGGTGTTATCTCAACTGAAGAATCCTTTGTGTCTCAAGTGGGGGTCAGTGAGAGACGTGTCATGTCTCCTTTGCTATTCAATATTTCTCATTGAGGATGTGGAGCGTCAGTGTGAGACAGAAGATGAACACTGAGAGATGTTTGAGTGTATGCTATTTTCTCCTTCAACCGCATATATTCGTTCAAGCATATCCGTATTGCATTTACTTACAGCATATTCGTTCAGCATATCCGAAGCGCATGTCCGTGCTGGTTATACGTGTATGCACGCCCCGTGCTGCATATAGCACGCCCATGATGCACATTGCACGCCTTCTGAACCCCACAAACAGGTTCATTTATTTGAATCACCGAGACACATTATGTGACCCTGCAGCGTTATCCTACATCCCGAAGTTAATTTTTTGTTTTTAATTTTGCCCCGAGGGGCGAGTTTATTGGGCAGCGACACTCATCCTGTGAGTGGTCATACCGCCATAGCAGCATGTACAACACTCCCCAATAGGAAGAAAACCCGCTGGGTTGTTATTGATGAGGTGAGGTCAAAGTTAACTAGGGTAATATCGGTAAGCAATACAGACTTTGCCGAAATAGCCACTTGAGACCCTATAGCGGCCTTATGACCGCAAGCTCCAAAGTTTATCGGTACGAGCCGTAATAGCGGATATGTAGTTGGTGCAGTGGAGTTGATGGTACAACATCGGCAGTCGCTGAACATAAAAATAAATAAATGATTCCAAACTTTAATGATTCTGTATGCAAACTGAGGGGCCAAATATTTCAAGATATGCACAGTGTCTTGAAGTATTTGAGCAATAACCAGATGTATCTATATAGAGGGACATAGACATATTGATATAGACATCTATATCTATATGCATCTCCCAATCTCTCATCCCCGTTTCCCCAAGGATGAGAGATCTATCCTCTCACACGACCTAATTTGTGTTTTCAGAAATGTTGTATTTTCTCATTTCATGACTTAGAAAGAGAATTCAAAATTACGACTCGACATTAACAGATCTTGGATTGCTTGGTCTGCCCAAACCCGTCGTTGGAGAGTTGTATTGTGACCTCTACGTTATGGAGTTGGAATGTACAGAATGCGGATGGGATGAAATTGATGATTGTGTCTGTCAGCATTTCTCACACTCTCGCCTCCTCAAAAAGAGTGTCACGTTCTTTGTTGAAATTGCAGAAAATCCTGTTTCCAATTATTTTAAGTATTTGATTTTCATATTCTCAGCTTTCAACTGACAAGTGTTCATAGCGTTATTGATATATATATATATATATATATATATATATATATATATATATATATATATATATTGCATTATTTCAATATCAATATTCTCATACTTTAAAGGACTTATTTCCTTACTTATTTCAATACTCGTTGAGTTATGTTGAAACTTTTTATTCCGTAACTCAAGTAATCAATAGTTAATGAGAGCTTGTGGACCATTTAGCTGGCGAAGCAGAGGGCCATCTTTTTGACTGGTATAGCCGCAGTTAGCGTGGCTATTGCTGCTATTAATGCTATTGTCCTTGTTATTGTGGTTATCGCAGCTCCAATGCTTGTCGGCCGTGTTTATGGTGCCTACTGTGTCCCCAGTTATTGATGTTATTGTCTCTGTTATTGTCGATACCAACACTATTCTCTCCGCTGTTATGGTCGGCCCTAAATCATGTCGCTCTTGTTTTTTCGGTGTGTGTGTGTGTGTGTGTGTGTGTGTGTGTGTGTGTGTGTGTGTGTGTGTGTGTGTGTGTGTGTGTGTGTGTGTGTGTGTGTGTGTGCTCACCTAGTTGTGCTCATCAAGTTGTGCTTGCGGGGGTCGAATTCTGGCTCTTTGGTACCGCCTCTCAACCGTCAATCAACAGGTGTACAGGTTCCTGAGCCTACTGGGCTCTATCATATCTACATTTGAAACTGTGTATGGGGTCAGCCTCCACCACATCGCTACCTACTGCCTGTGTGTGTGTGTGTGTGTGTGTGTGTGTGTGTGTGTGTGTGTGTGTGTGTGGTCAATATATGTCAAATGGAATACTAAGCCACTATTTTGACAACACAAATGTATATATATTTCGCTCCCAGGGTCAATTTACTGACCCCTCGCAGGATGCAACCCCATAGCAAGCTGACTAACTCTAGAAAACCTACATACTGCTAGGTAAACAGGAGCATTATGTTAAAGGATAATCAGTTCAGTACCGCCCTAGTGATTCAAACTAGGAATTCTCGACTGCGAATCGAGAAGAAAACCCGACTGTCCAACCGGGGCCTCGGAGATCCTGCCACTCTGGGCAGGCCTCTGGGCTAAGCATGAGCTCCTCCAGTGATTATTTTGAGGAACGATCTAGGTGCGCTCCGATGGCATGATACATGGCTCCCGAGGACGTCGTCACGCTGTCGTCTGGTAGAGAATTTATGTCTGTGTCGACGGTTGGCGAGGATGATTGACGACTCGGAGGCTTCCGCGAGACGACTGGTACTGTGTCTGTGGGGGAAGCCTCAGCTGAGTATGCTCTCTGATACAGCCGGAAAACAGTGGTCGAGAAATTATATATAATGTTAACGTTTGACTCGACTTTAGTCGGAATTTAAATCGTTGCTTTATTACTTACATTCTCCAATTGGTGATATTTTTGTTCATGTTTGGACAACAGGGAATTTTGTTTGTGAGTTTTGAGTTACATTTTGTTTGTGTGTTTTTTTTATTTATTCTCATGTTCTCTCACACACGCAAACTATTTCTCAATATGTCAATGACATAACTAAGGGGGTTGAAATCCAAATATCGATATTATCGATATTTGCAGAAGATGAAGAAAAAAAACATTTTGAGTGCACCAGCTCACATTACGTACTTTTCGCCATAGTACCTTTAATCAGCATAATTTTTGATGCACTAGTCGAAGACACGTTGGAGGACTGACGGGTTGAGAGCTGAAGACGTGAACACAGGTCCAGTAGGACAAGAACAAATTGGTTGATGGATGTTTGAAAAACAGATGGGTCAAAATTATTTCTGAAAGTATTTTTGTTTTATCATTATTATAAGAGTCGTGGAAAAAACAGGCTGTAGAAGCCAATCCCATTCGTAATTTAAAGGCCGAGAGATAGATTGAGACTCGTTTGATTGGATGATTAGACAACCCGCAAGCACAAATAGGTAAGTACACACACACTTACAAACAACCCCCCCCCTTCCACACACACACACACATTCACACACACACGTCCCCTCACGACACTGGAAAACAGAAGAGTAAGGGGGAGACATGATCACTACCTACAAAATTCTCAGAGTAATTGACAGGGTTGGTAAGGATAAACTGTTTAACACGGGTGGTATGCGAACAAGGGGACACAGGTGGAAACTAAGTACCCAAATGAGCCACAGGGACGTTAGAAAGAACATTTTCAGTGTCAGAGTAGTTAACAGGTGGAATGCATTAGGAAAAGATGTGGTGGAGGCTGACTCCATACACAGTTTTAAATATAGATATGATAGAACCCAGTAGGCTCAGGAATCTGAACACCAGTTGATTGACAATCGACAGGCGGGACCGAAGAACCAGAGCTCAACCCCGGCAAGCACAACCAGGTGAATAAAGTTAGATGAGTACATACTCTCCACTCGATACATTCTAATAGTCAACACGGATATGGGTGATACTGAATACTTAATACCATCACAAGCTAATTGTCATGTATCAGTGCGATAAGGTGTGGAAACCTTCTACCTACATAACAGTACCACAAGAGTGTTGACCAAGCCGCCTGTACGTAACTAGTGCAGAAACTACAGCCGGAATTATCTAACAAGAAGGGCCAACTAATTAATCAGAAAGTGAGCTGGCCGACCTCACGCTGAAGACCTTCATCGCTTCCCTCGCTAGTGATGTAGACGACGATGGTCGCTATGAATCTTAATGTTGATTGAGTGATTGATGAAGATTAAGCCACCCAAGAGGTGGCACGGGTATGAATAGCCCGTAAAAGTTAATGTTACTAACAACATAGATTTATAGCCACGCTATCGACTGTATTTCACCTGACAGCCACAGCAGGGACAGCAATACTCATGAGAAAATGAGTATTACTGTCTCTAGAGACAGCAGTACTCATGAGAAGATGAGTATTACTGTCTCTAGAGACAGCAGTTGACTGTGGAGGAAGAGAATCACATCTAAAAGTAGTAACTGACGACTTCGCTGCTTATAAATGGAGTCAGATGACAATGCTGTGTTCGGTATGCTGAGGCAACGTCGATTTCCCAACGTGATGCGGCGTTGATGGTGATGGCCACTAGAGATATGGTGACTCCGGCAGGGGTAACGGGAGAGCAGAGGCGCTGGTGTAGCATGGAATATAGTGAAGCTGGGGGATGGTGATGTTTAAAATGATGGTGATGGCGCTGATAGAGTCGGTGCAAATGATGATGGATGATCACGACATCTGGGAACCAAAGGGCGCAATAGATAAGGAGGATAAGAAGGGACAGAGGGGGAGATGGTGCAGATGGGACGTGAGAAAATGAGAAAAGAGAGAGAGAGAGAGAGAGACAGGAAGAGTTGGTAAGGTTCGAGAATAGTCAATGAAGAAGGGAGGGCAAGGGATATAATCCCAGCACGATGCGAGAAGGGTCAGAAAGGGATGATGGGATTAAAAGGGTGATGGACCAGGGTGATGGACCGAAAAGGGGAATAATAGTGCGTGAGACGATGGAAACATTAGGACAAGAGAGAGAGAGAGAGAGAGAAAATTTAAGGACTTTGCAATCCGTGGGAGAGAAAATGCCAGAGAGAGAAAGATAGAAAGAGACAGAGAAACCCAGCTAACACATACGAGAGATTAAACACAACCAAAGAGTATATAAAGTATATTATGCAAAGACAGAGGTGTAATAAAGATAGATAAAGTTACTAGAATGACAAAAGAAAAAGCATAAACAAAACGCCTCTCCTAAAATATTGTCAGATCCACCAACGTGAGAAATAAAGGAGATTTTAGGGACCAAACCGGTGTAAAATACCAAGGGCCACTTTATTCTTAAACTCATGAATAGGAACGGTAATAAAAAGAAAGAAATACAGTATTTAAACAATTAAACATAAGCCATATGCAAATCCCAATCCCATCCGGCTCAACAGCCTTCGACCCAATCCTCCCAACATTCACAATCATCGAATCGCACAGGACACCTACGAGCCAAACATTAAAGAATCGTATTTTATTACCTCCAGATAAAAAAACAAAAATGTCCATAATTTGGACTGGGAACCACGC